TCCTTGTACAAGGCGTTTCTCTTCCAAAAGGTAAGTAAATTCTCACCTAGTATTCATTTCTAATCACTCTTGATCTTCACTTGAAAAATCGTTTAAACCATTGCACTTTATCAAATATATTTCATGGTTTAACTTGATTTACTTTTGATGATTGGAAAGAATACATAATCACTTGTCAAAACTCATTTCTCACTGAAATTACAAGAGATTGAACTATAGTTTGAAATTTGGATCATTAACCAAGACCAAATAAGAATTTATAGTTTGTGCTTTAATCTCTTGGATTGTGAACTTCAAGTTGGTCACTTGAGGATCACAATCTGAGAAACCATCTAATCATGATTTCAAGTGTTTTGCAAGGAGTTAACCATTTGACAGGAAGGAGAAATAGAGCAAACCTATAACCAACCTAAAACCAACATGCATATGGCGGCCAAAGGGAGGTTAAAAGGAGATACATAGGCCATCACACGAAACAAGGCGGCCACCACTTGGGAATGACACAGGAGGGTTATTAAAACAATTCGGTCGAAGAAAATCTCAATTGGCCCGAGTGGATTTGAAGAAATTCAATCCGGACATTTCTCTCGGCCATACCGCGCACAAGGAGCCAACTACGGCCAACTCCTAAACGGCGTGACCGAAGTCCACCAAACTTCACAGGCGACCATAAAATCACATTTTGGTCGGCAAATCCAAAAGATAGGACGGAGAAATCATCACGGATCATGAGATAGACGACGGAGCTCATTCTGGCCGATGGCGCGCAAGCAATATGGCCGACAAAACCAAATCACGGCATAGGCGCGCCAACCGGTTGGAAAACTCTTCTTTGAGCTTAACTAACACTTTTATGCAGGAAGAAACGAAAAGGAACGAGCCAAACTTCACATGGCCAAGGAAACTCCTTCCCGGAGCCGACTTGACCATTTTGTGAAGGAAGTCTCAATCCGCTCGTACAAATGCTCCCAAACTTCACCAGAGGCTATAAAATACCAGGTTGGTCGATGAAATTTCAATATAGGTCATGAAATTTTGACGGTTTGTTCTGTAGTTCACAGCACCACATTTTGGCCGACCGAATATACCAATCTCGGCCAAAACACAAACCGGCGGAAACCAAGGCCTGAAATTAAAAACTCACCGACCAATATTGCCTAAAGAAGTGTAGAATGACCCAAACCGGAACTGATCTTCATTATAAATTGGTCGACATTTGGTAACATCATCCTAAACCTTTTTCTTTTCAATTTTTCATTTGAACTTCATGTTATGCCTCTCTTAATCCGATTTGATTTCACCGGGACGGTGCAAGTTAAGTCTGGGGGGATTACTAACAATGTTTGTTCATTTTGGCGTTTTCATTTGCATTTTTCCCTTTTTATCGAGTCGTTTTTATTGAGTCAAAATTTTTGTCGAGAATCATGACCTTATCTTGGATCTAACCATGATTGTACTAATGTTTAAGTGACCATTGAGCAGTTCTTGGCAATACATCTTACCACAGGTGCACTATGAGTTGATCGATCTACCAAAAACGCCTACATCTCTAAAGACTTGAGAAGGATCCATCTTTGACTCCGCCCTTAATGAACTTAATCTTCTCAGCTAGGGGCTTGGCATACAAATGGCATGATTCCTCATCCTCTCCATCAAATGAAAAAGTCTTAGTGAGTTCGTGCTTCCCTCTCTCTCCCCTTCAAATTTAAAAGAAAAAGCGTAAGGTCCAAGTAACCGGGGATTCGGTGGCAAACACCATCAATACTCGCGTCTATGGAAGGCCTATGAATCCAAGCAACCGGGGATTCGGTGGCAAACACCATCAATACTCGCGTCTGTGGAAGATCCAAGCAAAACCTCTATAATAAAGAGAAGGAGTTGAATAAAAAAATACTTCGCTACCCTAAAAAAGGGATGAATCAACTCAAAGAAGTGAGAAGAGAGAGAGGAGAAACATGGAGAAAAAGACAAGTGCCAAACAAGGGGATGAGTAAGATCTAAAAGCCGGCTGATCGATACTCCCTAGTTGAGACCACACCTTTAGAAATGAAAGGAGTCAAGGGTGGCGAATTGGATTGTCCAAGGAGAGGTGGACCGCTTTGGGAAAATCGCAAAACTCATGGTATGTACTTTGTTCTTAATTCAAAACTTGCCAATGCTGTTTCATGTGGATTACTAAAGCATAAGTCAATTTGGATTTCCAAAAGATTTGAGAGTTCTCACGTTTTCAAACCTCTTTTCCTGCTTAGTTTGCTTGGGGACAAGCAAAAGGCTAAGTCTGGGGGAGTTGATATCACCATATTTTACATGATTTTACTATATAATTTACTATGTTTTCAAACGGTTTTTGCAAGATTCTTTGCCTTTAGAGGTAGTTTTCTTGTATTTGTGGGATTTGAAGTCTTTGTAGGTGAAATAATCAAAAAGGATGCAAAAAGGAGCAAAAGAGCCCTAAATCAAGATCCATGCAAGTTTCCAAGTCAAGAAGACCATTTTATCTCCAAGTGTTAGTTCTCGCTGCGCGCAGAACGAAGCTTCGGAAGTTTGGCCGCGCGCGGAGGAGTTCCCGACGTCCAAAAGTTACGATCTTGATATGGAAAGATAGATACTTGAGTCATGCATCACGTCGAAGTGGAATGAAGCCATTTGGATCAACTATGAGGCCTAGACTTATTTTCTACCGAGACATGTCCGGTAAGCGAGCAAACGAAGCCCATGGAGGATTTGGAGTGTCTAATGGCCCGAGCAGCAGCGCCAAAGGCCTTGATCGAATAGAGAAGAGGCCTGGCTAATGTTTGGAGCTTTCCTTGGTACAATGTCGGCCCATACACGACGTGGAGAAGAAGGCTCGGCGCATGGAAACTTTCCTTTTCCGGCATGAAGAAAACCCTACGACTTCGCCCATATATACATGTTTTTAGCCGCTGAGCGGAGAAGAGAGAGTCCGAGAGAAGTCCAAAAATACCAAAGAGTTACGTGTGAGAGAGAGAGAAGAGAAGAGAAGCCCTAGGAGATCGTCCAAGAAGAAGGAGGCGCCGCTCAACTCTTGTTCTTTCTTTTTCATTGTTTCCATTTCTATAAACTTGATTTTAAGAGTTTTCAAGGGAGAATCCGACTTTGTTCATCAATAGAGAAGCTTTCTTCATCCCTTTATCTCTTTTAATACTTGCATAATGTTTACAATCATGCTTTGCTTGCTTGTTTGCATCATGGCCGAGTAGATCTCTTAGTTAGGCCGAGGAGATCTATGGTGGCCGTGATGATTTGATTGTGTTGCAACTTATTGGGATTTATCTTATGGATCTTCACCTTTACTTGAGCTTAATGCATGATTACTCTACCGTACATCTAGTAATCTGATCTTAGAGAAATAGAACCACGACAGTGCTGAATCTAGATCTCAAAACTAGTATTTGGTGAGCAATAGATCATAGCCAACGAAAGCTGAGTTATGGTTTATTGTGAACAATTGAATCTTGAACCTTTAATGCATGTTTGCAATTCTAATAGCCAACGAAAGCTGAGTATATTAGGTTGTTTAAACATAGTGGTTGGAGCCACGACAGTGGAAAGACATACACTAGTGATTCATGTTCAAGACGGCTCTACACACATCCCATGCAACTATCTTTTCATCATTGCTCCATATGATTGTCCTTTGCCTAACTCTTGTTTTAAATTGTTTACAAACTCACTCACATTTCTTTTGTTTTGTTTTCTCATTCTAGGTCCAAAACCACCTCATATTGCGAGCTAGCTACAAACCAATCTCACAAGGTGTTAAGTGAGAACACTTCCTCCTCGTGTTCGACCCCGACTACAACACGGCTGTGCACTTGCAGCTCATTAGTTGGGTTTATAAATTGTGAAAATTTGAGGCAATCTAAACCCGCCATCAGTAAACAAACAAAAGGGTTTTTGATTAAAAGATTGATGATCAGAAACAAAGAAGAAGTTCAGAGTTTAAAGGGGAAACGAGAGAGAGAGAGAGAGAGAGAGAGAGAGAGAGAGAGAGAGAGAGAGAGAGAGAGAAGGAGAAAGAGAGAGAGAGAGAGAAAGAGAGAGAGAGAGAGAGAGAGAATTGGAACAGGCTCCAGTCAATCTCGAAAATGAAACAAAACATAAATGAAAGTTTGAACAAAAGAGACTCTTCATTTCTGGGCGGCAAAATTTGGCAGTGGAGAAGAGTTGGGCCGGACCCAAACAACATGAGACAAAGAAGGTGATTTGGAAGTGGGTCTTAGGCCTCATTAAAAACCTGCCAAGGAAAACCCAAAGGGACAAAACCTTGGCAGAAAAAGAGCACACTAAGAACCACTTGCTCTTTATCCCAAGTGTTGGGCTCAAACAAACCAAGTGGAATGTTTAAGAATCATGCCGACTCAAACGGCTAAGTACTCTTCCAATGTCTTGGTTGAGCATCTTAGTTTGGGACCTTGTGATGGACCAGTTGGTAAGGCCAAAGCTTCCAAGCTTCCTCAGGTTCAAGCTGCTCCTCTCAAGCTCGCTTCAAGCTCTCCAGCTGCTTCCTGGTCCAAGTTCCTAGCAACCTCCTCCATGATCATATCATCCCCTCCCTCTTGAAAAGGATTTGTCCTCAAATCTGGTTCATCTGCAAGAAAAGGAGAAAGATCAGTAACATTAAAACTGAACTTATGTGTACTTACCTTGAAGATCAATTTGGTAGGAGTTGTTGTTGATTCTTCTGGTGATCTCAAATGGTCCATCTATCCTCGGCATAAGTTTGGATTTGCGCTCGGCCGGGAATCTCTCTTTGCGCAGATGGATCCAAACCTTGTCTCCCACTTCAAAGACCATTCCTTTCGCCCTTGTTGGCTTGTTGAGCATACTGCTTGGTTTTAGCCTCAATGTTCCTTCTAGCTTGCTCATGGATCTTCTTGACTGTCTCTGCCTTTATGCTTTCCATCTGTGCTTAATCTTTCACTCAAAGGCAAAGGCATCAAATCCAAAGGAGAGATGGGCTTAAACCCATAAACAATTTCAAAAGGAGAAAACTTAGAAGCAGAATGCACAGCATGGTTATATGCAAACTCAATATGTGGCAAACATTCATCCCAACTTTTAAGATTCTTTTTAATCAAGGCGCGTAACAAAGTTCCAAGAGTTCTATTAACAACTTCAGTTTGGCCATCAGTTTGAGGGTGACAAGTAGTAGAGAACAACAGCTTAGTACCCAACTTAGACCACAAAGTTTTCCAAAAATAACTCAGGAACTTAGTGTCACGATCAGAAACAATGGTGCGCGGCATGCCATGCAATCTAACAATCTCTTTAAAGAACAGAGCAGCTATATGAGATGCATCATCAATCTTCTGGCATGCTACAAAATGAGCCATTTTTTAGAACCTATCAACTATCACAAAGATAGAATCTTTTCCAGTTCTAGTCCTTGGCAATCCAAGCACAAATTCCATAGATATATCAGTCCAAGGATGAGATGGGATAGGGAGAGGAGTATACAAACCGTGAGGCTGAACCTTAGATTTGGATTGTTTACAAGTTGCTGATGTACTTGCATTTTGCATAGTTTTAGTACATCTTTTATGCATCTTTTGCATAGTTTTAGCATCCATTAGCATCATATCTTGTTCCTTTTCTCTTCTTATGCATTCATAGTAGTTTTAGGTTGCATTTGCATACATATGCATGTTTGGTCCTTTGAAATAGGTCTTTTGGAGCATTCTGGAGCATATGGGACGAGAGGAGCATGGAGGACTTGGCACATGGACGCAGCTCAACTGGATACGCAAAGGAAGAAGGAGGAAGCCATCTTGAAGACCAGCTCGACCAACCTCGACCTCAACTCGACCGGCCAAGCTTCAACTCGATCGAGCTGAGAAGTCAACAGTCAAACCCGAAAAATGTTGCTTCCCCCTTGACTTTCCTTTGACCCTAAACCTAATCCTCTTTGTATTTAAGGCTAAAAGCCACGAAAAAACCACCAAGCTTTAGATTACTTTTGTTTTAGTTCTTTTAATTTATTGTCTTTTACTTTTGAGAGCTCTAATCCCATCTTTGTGTTCTTGAAGCTCTTGCTTCTTGAATCCTAGATCCTGGATAATCTCTTTTGTATTTGCACTTGCTTATTTCAATAAAAGTTGTTTAATTTCATCTCCTCTTTCTTATGATGTCTCTTTTATTGCATTTGCTTGTGTTTACATTCATGTGTAGTGAGTAGTTTCCCATTAGGGTCAAAGATGGGATAGATTAGAGGATTTTATGCTTAATCCTTCTTGCTTATGTTCTTAATCTAGAAATCTCTCTCTTTTGGACAAACTTAAGGCTACATGACCACTATCCCTGGCTTGTATGTCCATAGGCGATTCTCCACATGGAAGTGATGGAAATCGTGGAAAAGGTCCACTAAGAGCTCCAATATCTCTTGCTCTAGAAATAGAGGTCTAAGGGGTTGGATGGATTAGTTTGAGCAATGATCCTATGGCCTTGATGATAAGATTTTGTGTGTGATGTGAAAAGATATGAAATGAGATGAGTGGAATGCAATCAGTGGTATATGATGGTGGTAAGATGCAAACACAAACACAGTCAACAATTCCCTTTAACCATGATAGTTGATGTAGTACAAAGGGTTATCAATCCAAAATGGGAAACTTGTCACTCTATGAGAATATGAAACAACCAGAAAGTCAAGCAAGCAGTTAAAGATTTGAAGTAACACTAACAACCTAAAAATAATGAAAAGCAGTGCAATAAAAGTAAACAAAGCAGTGAAGTGTCAGCTCGACCAAGAGCTCGAGTCGAGTAGAGCAAAGTACCAGCTCGATCGAGTTTAGGGACGAGTTGAGACAAACAAAGCTAAAGGTGACGACTTTAACAAGATAAAGAGAGAATTAGGGTTCAAGACAGGGTTTTGCAATCAAAGGAATCTACACTTAATCAATCTAGCTCTTAAAACTCCTTGTATCAAGGCTTCTCTTGATATTGGGCTTCTCAATGCCTAGCCAACCCTTTCCCAAGGTGAGGCTATCAACCAAGGAATGATCTCAGAAACAGGGGGTTAGCCAGTGAGAATCAAACCTTGGAGGCTATAGGATCATTGCCCAAACTAATCCATCCAACCCCTTAGACCTCTATTGTCTAGAGCAAGAGATATTGGAGCTCTTAGTGGATCTTTTCCAGCGAATGCCATCACTTTCGTGTGGGGAGTCGCCTAAGGACTTACAAGCCAGGGGTAGTGGTCATGTAGCCTTAAGATCTATCCAAAAGAGAGAGAATCTAGATTAAGACCATAAGCTAGAAGGATTAAGCATATGAAACCTCTAATCTATCCCATCTCAAACCCTAATGGGTAACTACTCACTACACATGAATGTAAACACAAGCAAATGCAATAAAAGAGACATCATAAGAAAGAGGAGATGAAATTAAACAACTTTTATTGAAATAAGCAAGTGCAAATACAAAGAGAGATTAATCCAGGATCTAAGATTCAAGAAGCAAGAGCTTCAAGAACACAAAGATGGGATTAGATCTCTAAAAAGTAAAGACAATAAATTAAAAGAAACTAAAACAAAATAATCTAAAGCTTGGTGGTTTTTTCGTGGCTTAGAGCCTTTAAATACAAAGAGGATTAGGTTTAGGGTCAAAGGAAGTCAAGGGGGAAGCAACATTTTTCGGGTTTGACTTTGACTCCCCAGCTCGATCGAGTTGAAGCTTGGCCGGTCGAGTTGAGGAACTCGACCGGTTGGTCGAGTGGACGGTCGAGCTGGTCTTCAAGATGGCTTCTCCCTTCTTCCTTTGCGTATCCAGTTGAGCTGCTTCCATGTGCCAAGTCCCTCCATGCTCCTTGTGTCCCATATGCTCCAGAATGCTCCAAAAGACCTATTTCAAAGGACCAAACATGCATATGTATGCAAATGCAACCTAAAACTAACATGAATGCATAAGAAGAGAAAAGGAACAAGATATGATGCAAATGGAAGCTAAAACTATGCAAAAGATGCATAAAAGATGTGCTAAAACTATGTAAAATGCAAGTACATCAACACCCCCAAACTTGAACTTTGCTTGCCCTCAAGCAAACAAATAGAACAAGAAAGAGATGAGGTTTGAAAATAGCTGATTCAACACTTAAAAACATGTCCTCAAAAGCGATTTGCTAAATGTCCAACTTAGAGATTCTAGAATGCAACAAGGTGAGAGATATTCATTAAGATTTAACCATGCTTATCAACATCAATCCCACTTCACAGTCACTCAAACAATGCATTCAAATCAGCAAATCCCTTTAACATTCATTAAGCAAAAACAGTGAACCAAAAACATGCAAGATCAATCAACTCATTTGGTTTCAAGGGTTTATGGGTTAAGAGACAAAGAGGGTCTCTTTTGTATGGTGGTTTAGTAACAGGGATCTCTCAAGAAAGTGGCTTTGCTTTGGCAGAAGGCTAAGTGTTAGAACCAAAGATGATGCAAGAACAGCAGCTCGAGCCGCCTAATCCTAACTCGATCGAGTTCAACACTTAGAGCTTTTTAGAACAAAATCCTAACTACCCTTTTTGGCATTTCGCCTTTGAAACTGAGGAGCTTTGCTCACTTTTCTTTTAAGAACTTCCTAGGGAGAGGCTTCTTGAGGTAACATCTAGCGGTTTGGGATTTTCTAAACACTTAGGGAACTTTTCTTTCCTTTTTGACACTTGAGGCTTTGCCTTCTTTTCATTCTACTTAGAACCCTTTTTACTTTCCTTTTTTAACTTCCCAAACCTTTACTAGACCCTTTTAAACACTGCCAACTCCCTGGACTTAACCAAACTCTTTTTCCTTTGGGTTTTTCCCAACTTTTACCACTTTTCTGGTTTTTACACCCAACTCGATCGAGCTCGAGTTGGCACCCCCAAACTTAGCCTGAAAACAATCCCAAGAGAACTAGACAACTAGAACTACTGCCCCTGCCGGTTTAAACACAACACCTTATGCTAAGCAAAGCCAAGAAAGGTTCTCACATTCGCACAAGAGATAATAAGGGGTTTGAAATGAAAAGGCTTAGGTTTAAGGTGTGGTAACTGTCTCAAAGATAGAGATCAGCTATCTGGACAAGCAAAAGGGATATGAAAATGGTAAAGAATGTCCAGATATGTATGTGGTAGCCATGAGTTGAAATCAAATGCAAGCATTGGTAATTAAAGATCAAGTTATGGTTCAAATAGATAGGGAAATGCATCAAATCACAGCAATGGTTGAATGAGATGTGCATGCAGTGATATGATCAAGATAAACATGGTTCTTGCTGCTCAATCAATCTCACCCTAATGCACAAAAGAATCTAAAAACAGGGCACTCAAGAAATCGCAAAAGATGGACAAGTTTTCAAAGTCAAATCAACAATGCAAGTGAAAAATGCAATCCTAAACAAGTCTAACAAATATGAATGCAAAAAGATGAAAATATTTTTGGATTTTTTGAAAATTTTATGATTTTTTTGGTTTTTCTATGCAAAAGATAAATGAAAAACTAAGAACAAAGAAAACAAGGTTAAATCATCTCTTGAACCCTCCCCCAAACTTAAATCACACAGTCCCTTGTGTGAGAAAAATTCAGTGAAAGATTCAAGAGGGCAAAACCAAGAAAAAACAAGAACAAATGCAAGAAAATATGAAATGGTATATACAAGGGTTGGTGTTTGGATACCTCAGTGCCCCCAAAGAACTGGGAGACTAGGTCGTGGTCTGGAGATGGGAGACGGCCATCAGGAGCACTCCATGCAACTGGGGTTGCCTCTTGCGGCTCACTCGATCGAGCTTGTGGCTCTTCCTCCTCTCTTCTTCATCTTCAAAGTGTGTGGCTTCCTTGGCCTTGGTGGAGCTGTGCTCGCTCGAAGCGGTTGTAGGGAGTCCAGGGTCTGAGAGAAGTCCTGGTACTGGTTGATCGTACTCGAATCCCAGGGTTCTCAAACAGGGGCTCCTCCAGGTCAACTCGACCCTCAGCTCGATCGAGTTGAGTTTCCTCTGTTTGGACTCGATCGAGTTGGAGCGTCTTTGGAACTCTTCCTCCTTCTCTGCGTGTTGTCCTCTCCTTCCCTTGGCTCGAAAGAAGAGGCTCTGTGAGGCTCTTGGGCAGGGAGCCTCCTTGGAGTGGTGAGGAGTGATCTACTCCTAGGGAAGTGGGAGCCTTGGACTTCTTCTTCTTGCTTGAAGAACCAGAAACTTCTTCTCCAAACTCTTGATCTTGCTCACCATCTTGTCCATGGACTTTTGCATCTTTTCCATGGCTTTCCCTTGCCACTTGTTGAACTTTGGAGAAGTCCAATCCTCTTGTGGGCAGCCACAACAGAGGGGTTCATCCTTGGAGCCTCATACTCCTCAAAGTAATAGCACTCAGGCTCACCCAAATCCTCATTCACTGGCGTTGTCTCAGCTCGATCCTCAGCTCGATCGAGCTCAGGCTCCTCTTCTCGCAAATCCTCTTCATGCCCAACTAATGTGTACACAGGGGGTCTGAAGTCAATGTTGTACCTCCTAGAACTGTGGTGAGCTCAGGGTTGGGCAGAAGAAGCTTGGAGGGCCAGCCAATGGATGTGTGAACTTGAATTGGAACCTCCCATCCAACTCCTTGTGCTCAATGAGAGGTTGGTCTTGCAAAACTTGATGTCCATCCAACCTGCTGGAGTAGACCTTCTCTTGTCCAGTGGACTCCAGCTGCACAAGGATAGGTGATGACCCTCCAACACTAAGCTTTCCTTCCCTTTGGTGCCTAGTGTTGTAAGCTGTCTTGTAAGGAGAGGCATGAGTTCCCTGCATGATCTATCTCCCCTGATCTTCTTCCCATCCTTGTGCGTGAGATGATGGGCTTGATTCCCATGTCAAGGAGCTTCACTTCTCCCTCATTGATTGTCCCAGTGCCTTTCCTTGCAAAGAAGGTGTTGGCAAGAGCCTTGTGCACATATCTCAAGCACTGGGCTCCTGATCTGAGCTGCCTTGGACCTTGAGGAAGAGTACTCCATCAGCGATTGTAGCCCAAACCCTTTGGAGTCATCCTTCCTTGATTCCATGGTTCCCTCCCATAGTGAACCCAAAAGATCTCCAACTGCCTAAAGGTCACCTTCCTTTCTCTCCCTTGCCAAGAACGTGATCCATCCCCAACCTTGGTCCAACTCAGCTCGATCGAGCTCCTGTACTGTGGACCTCATTGAGCCAAGAACTCACAAGTGAGCTCCTTGTAGACTCCATGCGGTAAGAGAAGAACTTGGCCAAGTGCATGTTCTTGAGACCAACTCCACATCCTCAAAGATCCCAAGGCCTTCATTGTGTCATCATGTGGGTACTTGGTCTCCACAAAGTCCATGGAGAAGAGAGCATCATAGTGCTCTTGGTACATGGGGAGCTCATCCTCTTCTTCCTCTGACTCCTCCTCTTCCATGGGCACATTCTCATTGCTCTCATGCTCACTCTCCTCAATCTCTTGATTGACCTCATCACCCTCTTCTTCACTTGGGAGTCATCATTCTCCTCTGTGGGTGTTCACTCCAATTTCAAACTCTCCTCTTCGCTCTCACTGCTGAGAGGATCATTCCTTCTTTTGGTTCTCCTCTTCCCTCACCTCTCAATCTCTTCCTCATCCTCCTTGGTTAGTTCTGAGTATCCTCCTTGCTCCTCTTGTTATCTCCTTCTTTGTGAATGCTGCTTGCTTCCTTCACCTCTCAACATCTTAACGTTGCTTCTTGAAGTTGGGTTCCTGAAATGCATCAAAAACAAAGAATTAGAGTTGTAATGATCGGTTTGGTCAACTCGACACTCAGCTCGATCGAGTCAAAAAACTCGAGTGACAAACTCGATCGAGTTGGGTGAAAACAGAGTATAACCGAACCTAATTCAATAAGAGCTGGAAAGGATGCTAATCAATCAAATTGAACCAAGAACAACTAGTAAATGGAACAATGAGCAATTCTAGTGAAGCTAGCATCTTAACCATACCAAACTCAAATTCAATTTCAAGCACATGCAACAAGTTCTAATGAAAAACAGAGGTGAGGTGAGGCAAATTCACAAGATTATACAAAGGAATAAAGAAAGCAATTACTCAAGAACAAGTCCACAAGGGACACATGCAATCAAAAATCAAAGAGGAAACAAGCAATAGGAAATCGAGATGAAGAATCAAGGGTTTTAGGGTTCATACCTTGCTTGAATGATGGAATTGAAGAGCAGTAAACTAAGAACCCAAGCAAAACAAGATGAAGAACAAAGGAAATCGCAAAAACTTAAGAGAGAAAGGTTGAAATTCGATTTTTGTGGTGGTGAGAGAGAGATGGTTTCAGAAATTTTAAGTGTGGGAGAGAGGAGAGGTGGGTTCGATCGAGTTATGGGGAAGAGGTGTTTGAGATGTGTGGTTGAGATTAAAAGATGAAATAAAGGGGACAAGAAGCTAGGGATTTTCTGATCAATTAGGGTAGTGGGGGACCAAAATCAGCTTGTGGGACCCACTCCCTTGACCAAGAAAACGGTTATGAATTTGAAATTCAAAAACTTACCTCGGTCGAGTTGTGGAACTCGATCGAGTTGCCCTGGTTTCTAGCTCGATCGAGCTGTCGGTCGAGCTGGCTCCTTGACACCTAAACTTAACTTATTGAAAGGTTAAAACACATAAAGATAGATAGAAATTGCATAAATAGAGTATGTACAAGGATAAACATGGGACTTCCTCCCAAGTGAGCTTGTTTAAGGTCCCATAGCTTGACCTTTACCTTCTTAGGCATTGGTTGAGCTAGTCCCACCATCAAGGGTGATAGTGAGGACTTGAGACAGAAGCTCCTTTAGCTTGGTTGGGTCCCTGGACTGTTCTGAAGTCACCAAGGCCTTGGCTCTAGAGAATGGCCTTGATCTCCCCTTGTACCTTATCTTGTACTCAATCTTCCCATTTTCAAACTTGGTGGGGAACAAAGTCATTGTGAGCTGAGATGGCTTGACTGAAGGGGCCTGAGCTGGTGGATCCTTTCTTTTATCTCCTGGTCTTGCCTTAGAGGCTGCATCCTCCCCTTCTTTTAGAGCCCTTCCTAGTGGCTCATCAAACAAAGCTTGAAGGCTCTCTTCATCAAGCACACAAGGGGCTTGAACAAGTCGCTCAGCTCTTGGCCTATCAGATCGTGGTTTCTCAACTCTAGCCCTCTCAAGACGTGGCTTCTCAATCCTTGGTCCTCTCTCATCCTTATCCTTCCCAACTCTTGGTTCCTTGTCAACCCTTTCCTTCACAACCTTTGTAGCTCCATGACTCTTAGAACTGAGATTGGTACTGTCAATTGTGGCACAAAAGTCTGAACCTCTAGGCTGCAAGCGATATGACACCAAACTATTCACCTTGTGAAGGATCACTTCTTGCTTGTGAAAGTCTATTGAAGCGCCAACTGTACTAAGGAAAGGGGTTCCCAATAACAAGGCAAATCCTTCTCTTCTTCCATTTCCATCACAGTGAGATCAGTTTGGATGATGCATTCTCCAATTTTCAAGTGATAGTTCTTGAACACTCCAAGAGGAGACTTAGAAGTTGCATCTCCAAACATGATTGAAGTAGTAGGGCGCTGCAAGGCTCCAGCAATGCCTAGCTTCTCTGCCATGGAGAGAGAGATCAGATTGATGCTTGCTCCAGAATCCACTAAGGCATTGTCAATCTCAAGATGCCCAAGTGTGCAAGGGAGAGTGAATTTCCCTTGATCCTTGACCTTTGGTAGGAAGGTGGGTGAAGTAAGCAGGTTGAACTGATGAGTAGACTCTTGTAGGACCTCTGAAACTTTATCACTGTTGGCTAGAACATCCTTGACCATTTGCATTTGATCAAATGCCTCACTCATGCTATCCATAGGAGGCAACTCAATTCCAATCCCACTGAGATCTCTTCTGAACTTGTGAATCACTTCCTTGTGACCTTGACTAAGTAGGCGAGACGAGGAAGCGGCAACCGGTTGATAAGGATCAAGCAAAACAGGCTGTCGGACAGAAGAGGTCGGACTCGATCGAGCTAGAGTTGGACTCGATCGAGCTGCCGATCGAGCTTGTCGTGCGAGCTCAACTGGTGAAGTGTGAATGGCCACAGTAGGTGCATGCACTTCTGGTTGATCAATCTGGACTCCAGGAGCCTCAGCAGCAACAATCTCTTCATCATTCAGCAGTAAACAAAAATCTTCAATGACCCTTTCTTGATCCTCTTCTTCAACAAGTCCTTCTTGAGTGAAGATGACCTTGCACTGTTCCTTGGGGTTCTGAATAGCTTTACCAGGTAGTTGTCCTTGCTTTGTAGCAGCAGCAACAGAAGAAGCATGATTCTCCAGAGAGTAAACCCTTGTGTTGAGGTAAAGGTACAAAATTAAAAGAAACTAAAAACAAAATTAAAGTAAAGCTTATTTGTTTTTTCGTGGCTAAGAGCCTTTAAATACAAAGAGGATTAGGTTTAGGGTCAAAGGGAAGTCAAGGGGGAAGCAACATTTTTCGGGTTTGACTTTGACTCCCCAGCTCGATCGAGTTGAAGCTTGGCCGGTCGAGTTGAGGAACTCGACCGGTTGGTCGAGTGGACGGTCGAGCTGGTCTTCAAGATGACTTCTCCCTTCTTCCTTTGCGTATCCAGTTGAGCTGCTTCCATGTGCCAAGTCCCTCCATGCTCCTTGTGTCCCATATGCTCCAGAATGCTCCAAAAGACCTATTTCAAAGGGCCAAACATGCATATGTATGCAAATGCAACCTAAAACTAACATGAATGCATAAGAAGAGAAAAGGAACAAGATATGATACAAATGAAAGCTAAAACTATGCAAAAGATGCATAAAAGATGTGCTAAAACTATGTAAAATGCAAGTGCATCAGGCCTCCAAGGCTTGACTCTCACTGGCTGACCCCCTGTTTCTGAGATCAAGTCTTGGTTGATAGCTTTCACCTTGGGAAAGGGTTAGCTAGGCATTGAGAAGCTCAATATCAAGAGATACCTTGATACAAGTCGTTTGAGAGCAAGATCGATTAAGTATAGCCTTCCTCTGATAAAGTCGCTGCCTTTACTGTTTTTCACTTCAACTCGACCCTAAACTCGATCGAGCTCGTTACTCTGTTCCAACTCGACTCGAGTCCTAGGTCGAGCTGTTGCTCTACTGCTTTATTTACTTTCTGCATTTCCATTTCTGCATTGCATTTCATTTTGTTAGGTTGTTAGTGTTACCTCAAATCTATTACTGCTTGCTTGACTTTCTTGGGGATTCATATTCTCAAAGAGTAGCAACTTCTCCCATTTTGGATTGATAACCTCTTATACTACGTTGACTATGATTGTTAAGAGGAATTGATTGATTGTGATTGCACCATTTCATCTTTATTCACCCCTGTTTGCATTCCACCTCATATCTTATCATCCTTCATTCATATCACTTCATCCACGCAAAATCCTATCATCAATTTGGCGCTGTTGCCGATTTGGGATTATTTTGTTGCGTTTGAGTTTCAAACACACTTGAACGATCAAGCTATACCACCCCTGTTCTATTTTACTTCTGGGTTTTTGTCTCTTTTTGCAGTATGCGAACTCGATCGAGTCAGTCTACAGAGGACTTGGTCGAGCTAGACTTTACAACGGGTAGAAAGAGGATTCAGAGGTCACAGAGGGTACAAGAGGAACCTGAGGTGCTTGTTGCTGATACAATGGACGTACCAGAGGGGAATGGAAACCCTTTGGGCAATGGACTCGGTCGAGCTAGGCAAACTCGACCGATTGGTCAAGGAGATGCTCCAAACCGCCACCAACAGAGACAAGGGATTTTTCCACCACCAGTGCAGAACCACAACTTTGAGATCAAGCTGGGAATGATCAACGTTGTTCAGAACAAGATGTTCCATGGATTGCTGATGTACTTGCATTTTACATAGTTTTAGCACATCTTTTATGCATCTTTTGCATAGTTTTAGCTTCCATTTGCATCATATCTTGTTCCTTTTCTCTTCTTATGCATTCATGTTAGTTTTAGGTTGCATTTGCATACATATGCATGTTTGGTCCTTTGAAATAGGTCTTTTGGAGCATTCTGGAGCATATGGGACATAAGGAGCATGGAGGGACTTGGCACATGGAAGCAGCTCAACTGGATACGCAAAGGAAGAAGGGAGAAGCCATCTTGAAGACCAGCTCGACCGTCTACTCGACCAACCGGTCGAGTTCCTCAACTCGACCGGCCAAGCTTCAACTCGATCGAGCTGAGAAGTCAACAGTCAAACCCGAAAAATGTTGCTTCCCCCTTGACTTTCCTTTGACCCTAAACCTAATCCTCTTGTATTTAAAGGCTCTAAGCCACGAAAAAACCACCAAGCTTTAGATTATTTTGTTTTAGTTTCTTTTAATTTATTGTCTTTTACTTTTTAGAGATCTAATCCCATCTTTGTGTTCTTGAAGCTCTTGCTTCTTGAATCCTAGATCCTGGATAATCTCTCTTTGTATTTGCACTTGCTTATTTCAATAAAAGTTGTTTAATTTCATCTCCTCTTTCTTATGATGTCTCTTTTATTGCATTTGCTTGTGTTTACATTCATGTGTAGTGAGTAGTTACCCATTGGGTTTGAGATGGGATAGATTAGAGGTTTCATATGCTTAATCCTTCTAGCTTATGGTCTTAATCTAGATTCTCTCTCTTTTGGATAGATCTTAAGGCTACATGACCACTACCCCTGGCTTGTAAGTCCTTAGGCGACTCCCCACACGAAAGTGATGGCATTCGCTGGAAAAGATCCACTAAGAGCTCCAATATCTCTTGCTCTAGACAATAGAGGTCTAAGGGGTTGGATGGATTAGTTTGGGCAATGATCCTATAGCCTCCAAGGTTTGATTCTCACTGGCTAACCCCCTGTTTCTGAGATCATTCCTTGGTTGATAGCCTCCACCTTGGGAAAGGGTTGGCTAGGCATTGAGAAGCCCAATATCAAGAGAAGCCTTGATACAAGGAGTTTTAAGAGCTAGATTGATTAAGTGTAGATTCCTTTGATTGCAAAACCCTGTCTTGAACCCTAATTCTCTCTTATCTTGTTAAAGTCGTCACCTTTAGCTTTGTTTGTCTCAACTCGTCCCTAAACTCGATCGAGCTGGTACTTTGTTCTGACTCGACTCGAGTCTTGGTCGAGCTGCACTTCACTGCTTTGTTTACTTTTATTGCACTGCTTTTCATTTTATTTAGGTTGTTAGTGTTACTTCAAATCTATACTGCTTGCTTGACTTCCTGGTTGTTTCATATTCTCAAAGAGTGACAAGTTTCCCATTTTGGATTGATAACCTCTTATACTACATGACTATGATGGTTAAGAGGAATTGATTGATTGTGATTGCACCATTTCATCTTTATTCACCCTGTTTGCATTCCACCTCATATTTCATCATTCATTCATATCATCACACACAAAATCCTATCATCAATTTGGCGCCGTTGCCGATTTGGGAATATTTTTGTTGCATTTGAGTTTCAAACACACTTGGACGATCAAGCTATACCACCCCTGTTCTATTGTACTGCTGGGTTTTTGTCTCTTTTTGCAGGTGTATGCGAACTCGATCGAGTCGGTCTACAGAGACTTGGTCGAGCTAGACTTACAACGGGTAGAAAGAGGGTTCAGAGGTCACAGAGGGTACAAGAGGAACCTGAGGTGCTTGTTGCTGATACAATGGATGTACCAGAGGGGAATGGAAACCCTTTGGGAATGGACTCGGTCGAGCTAGGCAAACTCGACCGATTGGTCAAGGAGATGCTCCAAACCGCCACCAACAGAGACAAGGGATTGTTCCACCACCAGTGCAGAACCACAACTTTGAGATCAAGCTGGGAATGATCAACCTTGTCCAGAACAAGATGTTCCATGGATTGCCAAGTGAAGACCCCATTGACCACCTTGATGAGTTTGATAGGCTTTGTGATTTGACAAAGATCAATGGTGTCTCTGAAGATGCCATCAAGCTGAGACTCTTTCCTATGTCTCTAGCTGACAAAGCTCACCAATGGGAGAAGAGCTTGCCCCATGGCACAATCACCACTTGGGATGAATGCAAGAAGGCCTTTCTTGCTAAGTTTTTCTCCACCGGTCGCACAGCCAAGCTTAGAGGAGAGATATCCAGCTTCATCCAGCGAAACAATGAGACATTCGCAGAGGCTTGGGAGAGGTTCAAAGGCTACACAAGTCAGTGCCCACACCATGGATTCAACAATGAATCACTACTCTCCACTCTTTATAGAGGATGCTTGCCTAGGTATAGGGAGATGCTAGACACAGCTAGCAATGGGAACTTCCTCAACCAGGATGTAGATGATGGCTGGCAACTTGTGGAGAACATGGCCATATCAACAGAAGCTATGGAGAGCAGTATGAAAGTACAGACTGGAGCTCGACCGCGCACTCGATCGAGCTGGACGCTCAGATGAGAAAAGACATGCTTGCACTCAACTCGAAGTTGGACAAACTGATCCTAGCCCAATTCCCTGCCAAGCATGTCAACTATGTCTCAGAACAAACCTTAGTCAAAGGACCAGGAAGGGGAGGAGACAACACAAGAGGTTTGCTACATTCAAAATAGACAAGGAAGCTATAGGAATCCTCAACAAGGGAGATACAACAATTATCAAGCCCCCTGGCCGCACCAACAACAAAGTGTTCCACAAGGTTCAACCAAGGACTACTCATACCCAACCAACTCAAGATTGGGATATGAAGGAAATGCTCCAACAACTTTTACAAGGGCAAGCCAAAGGTTCTCTGGAAATGAACAACAAGCTGGTTGAGATACACTCTAAACTAGAGTCATTGACTTCAAGAGTCCAAATCATTGAGTCTTCAAGTGCATCATCCTCTTCACCACAAGAGTATGCCCAAGCAGTTACACTAAGAAGTGGGAGGCAATTCCCAGTAGAGGTAGCCCACCCCAAATCGCTGTGGACATCGATGACGAGGAAGGGGAGGATTTAGTCGACTATGCTGATAACTCGACCCCGAACTCGATCGAGCTGGAACAAAACCCTGAACCAGAACTCGATCGAGCTGGAGAAACTGAGACACTGCAAGACAAACCAGAGCTCGATCGAGCCAGAAGAGAACAGACAAAGCAAACTCCAGCCAACCAGCTAAACCTGTTGCAAAGAAGAAAGACACTCCAGCAGGACCACCACCATACAAGCCCCCTCTACCCTTTCCAGGAAGGTTCAAGAAACAACTGTTGGAAGCACACAAGGCCAAGTTTGATGAACTAATGAGACAGCTTGAGTTGAAGTTGCCCTTCATCGACGCCTTGATGCTCATTCCACCTTATCAGAAATTTCTGAAGGATGCTGTTCAGCAAAGAACCAGGGAAGCACAAGGGATGGTAGTGTTGACTCGCGAGTGCAGTGCAATCATTCAGCGGAAGGTCATCTCCGACAAAAAGGAAGATCCGGGGAGTTTCACTTTGCCCTGCATGTTGGGACCCCTATCTTTCAAAAACAGCCTCTGCGATCTAGGATCATCTGTCAGCCTCATGCCTTTGTCTGTAGCAAAGAGACTGGGATATCACAAGTACCAAGCCTGCGGAATCTCACTAGTCTTGGCAGATAGATCGATAAGGTTACCAACTGGGATGCTTGAAGACCTGCCTTTGAGGATAGGGAATGTGGAAATCCCCACAGACTTCATTGTGCTTGAGATGGATGAGGAACCAACAGATCCATTGATTCTAGGAAGGCCATTCCTAGCTACAGCAAGAGCAATGATAGATGTCTGTGAAGGAACAATTGAGTTAAACTTGGGAAAGGACCTGAAGATGAAGTTTGATATCAAGGATACAATGAGGAAACCAACTATAGAAGGTCAGCTCTTTTATGTTGAGGAAATGGATCAGTTGGCAGATGAGCTTCTAGAAGAGTTATCAACAGAGGATCCCTACAAGTTGCTTTGACCAAGGATTCTTCAGAGGATATGTGAGCTCAGAAACTGATGAGTACAAGAAGCTCCTTGACACCTTCAGACCAGTTCCAAACATTCTGAGCATTGAGGGATTGGACAGGCCAGTTTGCGAAGTCATGGCAGTGAGCTCGATCAAGAACTCGATCGAGTCGAGCCTCGAACAAACGAACTCGATCGAGCTGGGGCTGAATGCAAGGAGCAAGCTCAAGGAGATTGGTCTGAGCTCAAGGCGCCTAAGTCGACCTCAAACCTTTGCCTGAGGGCCTCAGGTATGCATTTCTGGGTGAAAACTCAACTTACCCTGTCATTGTGAACTCTGATTTGGAACCTGAACAGTTGAGTGCTTTGCTTGTTGAATTGAGGAAGTACAGAAAGGCAATAGGTTACACTCTAGATGATATCAAGGGGATCTCCCCTGACCTATGCATCCATAGGATTCATCTAGAGGATGAAAGTAAGTCAAGCATTGAACCTCAGAGAAGGTTGAACCCCAATCTAAAGGAAGTAGTGAAGAAAGAGATACTCAAGTTGCTTGATGCTGGGATAATCTATCCCATCAGTGATAGCACTTGGATATCTCCAGTTCATTGCGTCCCAAAGAAAGGGGGGATCACTGTCATTAAAAACGACAAAGAGGAGCTGATTCCCACTAGAACAATAGTGGGGCATCGCATGTGTATTGACTATAGGAAGCTAAATTCAGCATCTAGAAAGGATCATTTCCCTCTCCCTTTCATTGATCAGATGTTAGAAAGGCTACATGACCACTACCCCTGGCTTGTAAGTCCTTAGGCGACTCCCCACACGAAAGTGATGGCATTCGCTGGAAAAGATCCACTAAGAGCTCCAATATCTCTTGCTCTAGACAATAGAGGTCTAAGGGGTTGGATGGATTAGTTTGGGCAATGATCCTATAGCCTCCAAGGTTTGATTCTCACTGGCTAACCCCCTGTTTCTGAGATCATTCCTTGGTTGATAACCTTCACCTTGGGAAAGGGTTGGTTAGGCATTGAGAAGCCCAATATCAAGAGAAGCCTTGATACAAGGAATTTTAAGAGCTAGATTGATTAAGTGTAGATTCCTTTGATTGCAAACCCTGTCTTGAACCCTAATTCTCTCTCTAGCTTTATAAGTAGTCACCTTTAGCTCTGTTTGTCTCAACTCGTCCCTAAACTCGATCGAGCTGGTACTTTGTTCTGACTCGACTCGAGCTCTTGGTCGAGCTGCTATTTCCCTGATTTGTTTACTTTTATTGCATTGCTTTTCATTTTATTTAGGTTGTTAGTGTTACTTAAAATCTATAATTGCTTGCTTGACTTCCTGGTTGTTTCATATTCTCAAAGAGTGACAAGTTTCCCATTTTGGATTGATAACCTCTTGTACTACATTGACTATGATGGTTAAGAGGAATTGATTGATTGTGATTGCACCATTTCATCTTTATTCACCCCTGTTTGCATTCCACCTCATATTTCATCACCCCTCATTCATATCATATCACACCTACGTAAAATCCTATCATCAATTGCCAAGTGAAGACCCCATTGACCACCTTGATGAGTTTGATAGGCTTTGTGATTTGACAAAGATCAATGGTGTCTCTGAAGATGCCATCAAGCTGAGACTCTTTCCTATGTCTCTAGCTGACAAAGCTCACCAATGGGAGAAGAGCTTGCCCCATGGCACAATCACCACTTGGGATGAATGCAAGAAGGCCTTTCTTGCTAAGTTTTTCTCCACCGGTCGCACAGCCAAGCTTAGAGGAGAGATATCCAGCTTCATCCAGCGAAACAATGAGACATTCGCAGAGGCTTGGGAGAGGTTCAAAGGCTACACAAGTCAGTGCCCACACCATGGATTCAACAATGAATCACTACTCTCCACTCTTTATAGAGGATGCTTGCCTAGGTATAGGGAGATGCTAGACACAGCTAGCAATGGGAACTTCCTCAACCAGGATGTAGATGATGGCTGGCAACTTGTGGAGAACATAGCTAACTCAAATGGAAGCTATGGAGAAGAGTATGATCGCACCAACCGGAGCTCGACCCACCACTCGATCGAGTCAGACGAAAAGTTGAGAAAAGATGTTAAGGCATTGAATGAGAAGTTGGATAAGCTGATCCTAGCTCAGTCCACAATGAAGAAAGTCAACTTTGTGTCTGCTGAGGAGATGGAACCAGTCCAAGAAGGGGAGGATACACAATTTGCTGAGGTGTGCTACATGAGCAATGGGCAAGGAGGTTACAACAAAGGATACTATAATTACAAGTCCAACCCTGCCATGTCATACCGCAACACTGATGTTGCTAACCCTCAGGACCAAGTATATCCTCAACAACAAGCAGCTCGATCGAGTCAGGTGCCACAACATGGGTATGGTCAAAAGAACAATTACCAAGGACCACAAGGCACTTTCCCTGGACAACAAATGAATATCCCACCAGGCTTTCCCCACCAACCACCCCAGCCTGCACCTTCACAAGAGAATGAGCTCAAGGCAATGCTAAAGCAACTACTTCAAGGGCAAGCTGATGGGGTAGTGGACACAAGCAAGAAGCTAGCTGAAATAAACTCTAAGATCGAGAACTCAACACAAGGGTTTACTCTCTGGAGAATCATGCTTCTTCTGTTGCTGCTGCTACAAAGCAAGGACAACTACCTGGTAAAGCTATTCAGAACCCCAAGGAACAGTGCAAGGTCATCTTCACTCAAGAAGGACTTGTTGAAGAAGAGGATCAAGAAAGGGTCATTGAAGATTTTTGTTTACTGCTGAATGATGAAGAGATTGTTGCTGCTGAGGCTCCTGGAGTCCAGATTGATCAACCAGAAGTGCAGGCACCTACTGTGGCCATTCACACTTCACCAGTTGAGCTCGCACAACAAGCTCGATCGGCAGCTCGATCGAGTCCGACCTCTTCTGTCCCAAAACCTTTTGCTTGATCCTTACCAACCGGTTGCCGCTTCCTCGTCTCGCCTACTTAGTCAAGGTCACAAGGAAGTGATTCACAAGTTCAGAAGAGATCTCAGTGGGATTGGAATTGAGTTGCCTCCTATGGATAGCATGAGTGAGGCATTTGATCAAATGCAAATGGTCAAGGATGTTCTAGCCAACAGTGATAAAGTTTCAGAGGTCCTACAAGAGTCTACTCATCAGTTCAACCTGCTTACTTCACCCACCTTCCTACCAAAGGTCAAGGATCAAGGGAAATTCACTCTCCCTTGCACACTTGGGCATCTTGAGATTGACAATGCCTTAGTGGATTCTGGAGCAAGCATCAATCTGATCTCTCTCTCCATGGCAGAGAAGCTAGGCATTGCTGGAGCCTTGCAGCGCCCTACTACTTCAATCATGTTTGGAGATGCAACTTCTAAGTCTCCTCTTGGAGTGTTCAAGAACTATCACTTGAAAATTGGAGAATGCATCATCCAAACTGATCTCACTGTGATGGAAATGGAAGAAGAGAAGGATTACCTCTGTTATTGGGAACCCCTTTCCTTAGTACAGTTGGCGCTTCAATAGACTTTCACAAGCAAGAAGTGATCCTTCACAAGGTGAATAGTTTGGTGTCATATCGCTTGCAGCCTAGAGGTTCAGACTTTTGTGCCACAATTGACAGTACCACTCTCAGTTCTAAGAGTCATGGAGCTACAAAGGTTGTGAAGGAAAGGGTTGACAAAGAACCAAGAGTTGGGAAGGATAAGGATTGAGAGAGGACCAAGGATTGAGAAGCCACGTCTTGAGAGGGCTAGAGTTGAGAAACCACGTCTGATAGACCACGAGCTGATAGACTTGTTCAAGCCCCTTGTGTGCTTGATGAAGAGAGCCTTCAAGCTTTGTTTGATGAGCCACTAGGAAGGGCTCTAAAAGAAGGGGAGGATGTAGCCTCTAAGGCAAGACCAGGGATAAAAGAAAGGATCCACCAGCTCAGGCCCCTTCATCAAGCCATCTCAGCTCACAATGACTTTGTTCCCCACCAAGTTTGAAAATGGGAAGATTGAGTACAAGATAAGGTACAAGGGGAGATCAAGGCCATTCTCTAGAGCCAAGCCTTGGTGACTTCAGAACAGTCCAGGGACCCAACCAAGCTAAAGGAGCTTCTGTCTCAAGTCCTCACTATCACCCTTGATGGTGGGACTAGCTCAACCAATGCCTAAGAAGGTAAAGGTCAAGCTATGGGACCTTAAACAAGCTCACTTGGGAGGAAGTCCCATGTTTATCCTTGTACATATTCTATTTATGCAATTTCTATCTATCTTTATGTTTTTAACCTTTCAATAAGTTAAGTTTAGGTGACAAAGGAGCCAGCTCGACCGACAGCTCGATCGAGCTAGAAACCAGGGCAACTCGATCGAGTTCCACAACTCGACCGAGGTAAGTTTTTGAATTTCAAATTTAACCGTTTTCTTGGTCAAGGGAGTGGGTCCCACAAGCTGAATTTTGGTCCCCCACTACCCTAATTGATCAGAAAACCCTAGCTTCTTGTTCCCCTCTTTATTTCACTTTTAATCTCAACCACACATCTCAAACACTCCCTCTTCCCCATAACTCGATCGAATCCACCTCTCTCCACACCTAAATTTCTGAAACCATCTCTCTCTCTCTTCACCACAAAAAAATCGATTTCCTCTTTCTCTCTTAAGTTTTTGCGATTTTCTTGTTCATCATCTTGTTTTGCTTTAGTTCTAGCTTCTGTGATTCTCATCATCCAAGCAAGGTATGAACCCTAAAACCCTTGATTCCTTCATCTCGATTTCTCTTATTGCTTGTTTCTCTTTGATTTTTGATTGCATGTGTCCCTTGTGGACTTGTTCTTGAGTAATTGCTTTCTTTATGCTCATATTTGTATAATCTTGTGAATTTGCCTCACCTCACCTCTGTTTTCATTAGAACTTGTTGCATGTGCTTGATTGAATTTGAGTTTGGTATTGGTTAAGATGCTTGTTTTCACTAGAATTGCTCATTGTTCCATTTACTAGTTGTTCTTGGTTCAATTTGATTGATTAGCATCCTTTCCAGCTCTTAATACTTGAATTAGGTTCGGTTATACTCTGTTTTCACCCGCTCGATCGAGTTTGTCACTCGAGTTTTTTGACTCGATCGAGCTGAGTGTCGAGTTGACCAAACCGATCATTGCAACTCTAATTCTTTGAGTTTTTGATGCATTTCAGGTACTTTAGAAGCAACAAGTTCAAGATGTTGAGAGTGAGGGAAGCCAAGCAGCTTCAAGAAAGCAAAGGCAGAGAAGCAAGAATGAGAGAAAGGATTAAGATGCAAGGTTTGGAGATGAGATCAGAAGAGAGGAACCAGAGATGGAGAATCTGATGCAGGGATATGTCTACTCTGAGGAGCAGTCTGAGAGTGAGAGATTGAGGGAGGAAAGGAGAACCAAGAAGAGGAATGACCCATTAGTAGTGAGAGTGAGCAAGGGGAGTTTGAGATTGGAGTGAACCTTGTTCAAGAGGAGGGAAATGGCTCTCCAATGAAGAAGGAAGTGATGAGACTGAGAGTGAAGAGGAAGGAGAAGAGGTGAACCAATTGGTTGATGAGAGTGAGCAAGAGGGAACCAAGATGAGCCATGGAGGAGGAGACAAGAGGAGGAAGAGAACTCCCCATGTACCAAGAGCACTACAATGCTCTCTTCTCCATGGACTTTGTGGACCAAGTACCCACATGATGACACATGAAGGCCCTTGGAATCTTTGAGGATGTGGAGTTGGTCTCAAGAACATGCACTTGGCCAAGTTCTTCTCTTACCGCATGGAGTCTACAAGGAGCTCACTTGTGAGTTTTTGGCTTCAATGAGGTATCACATTTGATGAGCTCGATCGAGCTGAGTTGGACCAAGGATTGGGATGGATCACGTTCTTGGCTAAGGGAGAGAAGAAGATGGTGACCTTTAGGCAGCTTGGAGATCTGTTTGGGTTCACTATGGAGAAGGAACCATGGAACATCAAGGAAGGAACTCCAAAGGTTTGGGCTACAATCGCTGATGGGGTACTCTTCCTCAAGGTCCAAGGCTGCTCAGATCAGGAGCCCAGTCTTGAGATATGTGCACAAGGCTCTTGCCAACACCTTCTTTGCAAGGAAGGCACTGGACAATCAATGAGGGAGAAGTCAAGCTCCTTGACATGGGAATCAAGCCCATCATCTCACGCACAAGGATGGGAAGAAGATCAGAGGAGATAGGGCACATGCAGGGAACTCATGCCTCTCCTTGACAGCTCTCCCTACAAGATCACAGCCTACAACACTAGGCAAACGGGAAGAAAGCTAAGTGTTGGAGGGGTCATCACACCTATCTTTGTGCAGCTGGAGTCCAACTGACAAGAGAAGGTCACTCCAGGTTGGATGGACATCAAGTTTTGCAAGACCAACCTCTCATTGAGCACAAGGAGTTGGATGGGAGGTTCCAATTCAAGTTCACACATCCATTGGCTGGACCTCCAAGCTTCTCCTGCCCAACCCAGAGCTCACCACAGTAGTAGGGGTGAGAACATTGACTTCAGACCCCCTGTGTACACATTAGTTGGGCATGAGGATTTGCGAGAAGAGGAGCCTGAGCTCGATCGAGCTGAGGATCGAGCTGAGTCAAGCTGAGGATCAGTCCAGGAGAGTGCGGATTTGGGTGAGCCTGAGTGCTATTACTTTGAGGAGTATGAGGCTCCAAGGATGAACCCCTCTGTTGTGGCTGCCCACAAGAGGATTGGACTTCTCCAAAAGTTCAACAAGTGGCAAGGGAAAGCCATGGAAAGATGCAAAAGTCCATGGACAAGATGGTGAGCAAGATCAAGAGTTTGGAGAAGAAGGTTTCTGGTTCTTCAAGCAAGAAGAAGAAGGCCCCAAGGCCCCCACTTCCCTAGGAGTAGATCACTCCTCACCACTCAAGGAGGCTCCCTGCCCAAGAGCCTCACAGAGCCTCTTCTTTCGAGCCAAGGGAAGGAGAAGACAACACGCAGAGAAGGAGGAAGACTCCAAGGCCAGACGCTCCAGCTCGACCACCGGACTCGATCGAGTCCAAACAGAGGAAACTCAACTCGATCGAGCTGAGGTCGAGTTGACCTGGAGGAGCCCCAGTTTGAGATCCGGATTTGAGTACGATCCAACGCCTTACCAGGACTTCTCTCAGATGGACCCCTACAAGCTTCGAGCTAGCCAGCTCCACCAAGGCCAAGGAAGCCACACACACTTCGATGAAGAAGAGGAAGAAGAGGAGCCGCAAGCTCGATCGAGCGAGGAACCCAGTCGAGTGGAGTGCTCCTGATGGCCGTCTACCATCTCCAGACCACGACCTAGCCTCCCAGTTCTTTGGGGGGCACTGAGGTATCCAAACACCAACCCTTGTATATACCATTTCATATTTTTCATTTGTTTTTTTTTCTTGGTTTTGCCCTCTTGAATCTTTCACTAAATTTTTCTCACACAAGGGACTGTGTGATTTAAGTTTGGGGGAGGGTTCAAGAGATGATTTAACCTTGTTTTCTTTGTTCTTAGTTTTTCATCTTTTGCATAGAAAAACCAAAAAAATCATAAAATTTTCAAAAAATCCAAAAATATTTTCATCTTTTTGCATTCATATTTGTTAGACTTGTTTAGGATTGCATTTTTCACTTGCATTGTTGATTTGACTTTGAAAACTTGTCCATCTTTTGCGATTTCTTGAGTGCCCTGTTTTTAGATTCTTTTGTGCATTAGGGTGAGATTGATTGAGCAGCAAGAACCATGTTTATCTTGATCATATCACTGCATGCACATCTCATTCAACCATTGCTGTGATTTGATGCATTTCCCTATCTATTTGAACCATAACTTGATCTTTAATTACCAATGCTTGCATTTGATTTCAACTCATGGCTACCACATACATATCTGGACATTCTTTACCATTTTCATATCCCTTTGCTTGTCCAGATAGCTGATCTCTATCTTTGAGACAGTTACCACACCTTAAACCTAAGCCTTTTCATTTCAAACCCCATTTTATCTCTTGTGCGAATGTGAGAACCTTTCTTGGCTTTGCTTAGCATAAGGTGTTGTGTTTAAACCGGCAGGGGCAGTAGTTCTAGTTGTCTAGTTCTCTTGGGATTGTTTTCAGGCTAAGTTTGGGGGTGCCAACTCGAGCTCGATCGAGTTGGGTGTAAAAACCAGAAAAGTGGTAAAAGTTGGGAAAATCCAAAGGAAAAAGAGTTTAGTTAAGTCCAGGGAGTTGGCAGTGTTAAAAAGGGTCTAGTAAAGGTTTGGGAAGTTAAAAAAGGAAGTAAAAAGGGTTCTAAGTAGAATGAAAAGAAGGCAAAGCCTCAAGTGTCAAAAAGGAAAGAAAAGTTCCCTAAGTGTTTAGAAAATCCCAAACCGCTAGATGTTACCTCAAGAAGCCTCTCCCTAGGAAGTTCTTAAAAGAAAAGTGAGCAAAGCTCCTCAGTTTCAAAGGCGAAATGCCAAAAAGGGTAGTTAGGATTTTGTTCTAAAAAGCTCTAAGTGTTGAACTCGATCGAGTTAGGATTAGGCGGCTCGAGCTGCTGTTCTTGCATCATCTTTGGTTCTAACACTTAGCCTTCTGCCAAAGCAAAGCCACTTTCTTGAGAGATCCCTGTTACTAAACCACCATACAAAAGAGACCCTCTTTGTCTCTTAACCCATAAACCCTTGAAACCAAATGAGTTGATTGATCTTGCATGTTTTTGGTTCACTGTTTTTGCTTAATGAATGTTAAAGGGATTTGCTGATTTGAATGCATTGTTTGAGTGACTGTGAAGTGGGATTGATGTTGATAAGCATGGTTAAATCTTAATGAATATCTCTCACCTTGTTGCATTCTAGAATCTCTAAGTTGGACATTTAGCAAATCGCTTTTGAGGACATGTTTTTAAGTGTTGAATCAGCTTTTTTCAAACCTCATCTCTTTCTTGTTCTATTTGTTTGCTTGAGGGCAAGCAAAGTTCAAGTTTGGGGGTGTTGATGTACTTGCATTTTACATAGTTTTAGCACATCTTTTATGCATCTTTTGCATAGTTTTAGCATCCATTAGCATCATATCTTGTTCCTTTTCTCTTCTTATGCATTCATGTTAGTTTTAGGTTGCATTTGCATACATATGCATGTTTGGTCCTTTGAAATAGGTCTTTTGGAGCATTCTGGAGCATATGGGACAAGGAGCATGGAGGGACTTGGCACATGGACGCAGCTCAACTGGATACGCAAAGGAAGAAGGGAGAAGCCATCTTGAAGACCAGCTCGACCGCCTACTCGACCAACCGGTCGAGTTCCTCAACTCGACCGGCCAAGCTTCAACTCGATCGAGCTGAGAAGTCAAAGTCAAACCCGAAAAATGTTGCTTCCCCCTTGACTTTCCTTTGACCCTAAACCTAATCCTATTATATTAGTTAAGATAACACATAATTCCGCTACCATATGTTTATTTGTAGCGTTTATTATTGCTATTGTTTACGTATGGATAGTATTTATTTAGTGCTAGATGTACTAATTTAATAACACTTTTGCTAGGCTACTGTTACATTATTAATAGCTCGTGAGGTTTGTTATGGTTATATGTTCCATAGCTTATTTCTATAGTTATTGGTTTATGTATACTGATTCCTTTCTCGTGCTACGAATAACAACTCCTATCTCTATCTTTGTGCTGTAATCGCCATATACCCATAATTTGGAAATGAAACATGATTTTAAAATCCAACACCTCAACATATCTGAATACAACGATGGATCATCAAATCTGAATACATTAAATCGAAATTCAAGTACCATTCGAACAATACATCAAATGTAGTCTCAATCCAAGGATTCAATACGCAGTGACACAAGAATAACTTAGGCTAAAGAACCATTGAGATAGGCTTCTTACACGATCAAGATTTTGTCTTCCGGCCATGCTACGGTAGTGCCAATTGCATCTTCCATGCAGTCCATAAAAGAAGATGGCCTCCACAACTTTGCATCACCCACCTTGACCACATCAACCCATACTCGAACTGCATTTTCACCCAAAGGAATGAAGTGGACTACTTGTGTTGGATTGTTTGAAGACCATCGACCTTCGGCAACAACCCTCTTCTCTCCGGTTACATCCATCAGAATGCACTTCAGGTTCTCACAGCCATCTGCTTCGGACTTGTTAAGCAAAAGTTCACAAACATAACCAAAAACAAAAGTAAACAAAAGTTCACAAACATAACCACAATACCAAAAAACTTATATACAGATTCAATTGTAAATACCTGAGGAGACGATTGTGGAGTTGGTTGGCTTTTCTTCGTAGGAGCCTTGGAGTTGTAGCAGATAGGTCAGCAGTGGAGCTTGTAACTGGTGGTTCTGTATTTTGACCAACAAACGAGATTTTGTTGACAGGCCATGCCACGAAGGATTTCAAGGAGTCTTCAAGATTTAAAAGCTCGGCTGTCGGCCTCCAGAGAAATGTATCAGGGTTTAGGACTGCATCCACAAATACCTTAATAGCATTTGGACCAAGAGGAAGTCCATTAACCAGTGCTTTGGGATCACGTGTCTGCCATCTACCTTCAGCAACAATCTCCTCATCATTGTTAGTCCAGTCCATTATTTTGCAGAGGTTTGGAGAACTGATGCTTGGGCTCTGAAAACATATGGAAAGAGTGAAACTTAGCAAACCGTTATTTTAAACAATACTAAGTACTTTTACTGCATAATAATCTCTAACCTTAGGCGCTATGTCTTCTGGTGCTTCCTCATTTTCAAATATTGCAGTAAAACTCTGAGGCCACGCAATAATCTCACCAACAGCTTCACCAACAGTAAACATGTTAGGAGCAGGTCTCCAAAGAAATGCCTCCGTCTTCACGCCAGTCTCAACCAAAACCTTAACAGAGTTAGGCCCTAACGGAATTTCATTGACAAATTCCTCAGGATCTGAAGAAAGTATATGACCCTCCGCAACTTTTTCATCAGAGGCAGACCAATCGTACAATATACACTTAATATGTGACTTTTTGTTCACGCTCTGCAAAACATTAGAAATTATGAGTACATATTCATGTAATATATCAGCCGGAACTAATTACACGTAACTACTTACTCTTGGTGCAGAGTTTTCACCAACCTCAGTTTCATGTCTCTGTCACATAAAAAAACAATTGAAAAAACGTTAATGATCTAGGCTACAAATTTCATAGACATGCTTGATCTAACCATGGCGTACCTGGTTTTTCATTGTCGCAAGAGCCTCTTGTAAATCTTGTACCTGTTGCTGCAGGTGAACTTGGGTTTGCTGCATTTCAGTCATGTATTTGTTCTTCATTTGGAAACAAGCAAACTTGCTGATGCTCATCCCTCTACCCATTGCCCTAAAACGACCGGGATTATCAGGTCCTAAAACCTGAGTAAGGAGATCTTCCTTTGGGTTTGATGATGTTGATGACGGGTCTTGCGAGTCAACTAACTTAGTCGCCTTTTGCTGCAAACATGTAATACTTTGAATCCTAATTTCCAAAGCATATATAGAGTTCTAGTAATGAAGCTCGGCAGTATACTTACAATCTTATCTGCGGCGTCTATATTAACTGGCGTTCCATCCTTCTTTGTTCGTGACTTGACCCATACTTTGAGCCTCGTCAGGTCATGAGGTTCTGAGCTTTCTTTTTTCTACGCATATACAGTTGAAGAAGTCAATTACTATAATTCGGCATAGCCAACATTTCAATAATACAATGTACGCTACTTACCAAATCTTCTGCCAACCTAACCATCCCCTTACGGCCACAAGTGTGAGGAATCTGATTGCGCCTTCTCTCTTTGTATTGGTCACTCACAGCCTACATAACTTATTGTCAACAAAATGCAACCATCAATTAACAACGTATGCTATGTTTATATAAATACCTTAAATTCCTCACTGGTCTTGACTTTGATGAATTTACGCCATTCTGCAATGGGAATGTTATTAGGAAACTAATCCTCTGGAGTCCAAAAAACACCAAGGAAGAAGAAAGGAAGGAGACGATCGAACAGAATACAAGATGGCCAAAGGAATCACATCCCGAAGCCATTGGCGCGCACGACGAAAGATCTCCGAATCCACACGTTCAAATCGCCTCAAACTTCACAAGGAGCCACAAAACATAAGGTTGGTCGATGAAATTCATTTCAGTACAATGAATTCCTTACAATTCAAGAGATGGCCGATGGAGTGAAATTTGGCCGATCGCGAGCAAGTAAAATGGCCGACAATCCAAATCACGGCATTTACCGCGGCCACCGGCTCAAATCACCTCAATCAAGCATCCACATCGCATCTAAAGAAGAAAATCCGGATTGGAACGAGCAGAATTGGAGAAGACCGAAGGAAGACGTTCCCGGAGCCAATTTGAAAATTTTTCAAAGGAGATCTCAAACCACTCGTTCAAACGACCCCAAACTTCACCAGTCGCCATATTATACAATATTGGTCGACGAAATTTCAAGATAGGTCGAGGAAATCTTCACGGTTCGAGCTGTAGTCCATACCATCACCATCCGGTCGACCAAAACGGACCAGTCTCGGCCAAAAAGGCGAAAAACAGAAAACCAAGGGAGAATTGTCACATTCATCCAACCAAATCCAACAGCTATGATGTTTGCACCAGTCAGTTCATTCCTGGAAGCAACCAAAAGCGCACAACCGATCTTCACATCAAAGGCCAAAAATTTGGGTACAATTTTCTACAAACTCTAACTTTTCCATTCTTATTTATCATTACCTCTCTTAATTGGATTTTTCTTACACCGAGACGGTGCAAGTTAAGTCTGGGGGGATTACTAACAAGTTTGTTCTTTTTGAATTTCATTGAGTCGTTTTATTGAGTCAAAATTTTGTCAAAGGATTATGACCTTATCTTGGATCTAACCATTGTTGTGCTAACGTTTAAGTGACCATTGAAGCAGTCTTGGCAATACATCTTACCACAGGGACACTATGAGTTGATCGATCTACCAAAAACGCCCACACCTCCAAGGACTTGAGAAGGATCCACTCTTGACTCCGCCCTTAATGAACTTAATCTTCTCAGCTAGGGGCTTGGCATACAAATGGCATGATTCCTCATCCTCTCCATCAAATGAAAAAGTCTTAGTGAGTTCGTGCTTCCCTCTCTCTCCCCTTCAATTTAAAGAAAAAGCGTAAGGTCCAAGTAACCGGGGATTCGGTGGCAAACACCATCAATACTCGCGTCTATGGAAGGCCTATGAATCCAAGCAACCGGGGATTCGGTGGCAAACACCATCAATACTCGCGTCTGTGGAAGATCCAAGCAAAACCTCTATAATAAAGAGAAGGAGTTGAATAAAAAAATACTTCGCTACCCTAAAAAAGGGATGAATCAACTCAAAGAAGTGAGAAGAGAGAGAGGAGAAACATGGAGTAAAAAGACAAGTGCCAAAACAAGGGGATGAGTAAGAGTCTAAAGCCGGCTGATCGATACTCCCTAGTTGAGACCACACCTTTAGAAATGAAAGGAGTCAAGGAGGGTGAATTGGATTGTCCAAAGAGAGGTGGGCCGCCTTGGAAAAATCGCAAAACTCATGGTATGTACTCTTGTTCTTAATTCAAATATTTGCCTTACTACTTTCATGTGGATTACTAAAACCAAGCCAACCCGGATTTCCTAATGATTTGAGAGTTCTTGCGTTTTCAAACCTCTCTTCCTCTCTTAGTTTGCTTGGGGACAAGCAAAAGGCTAAGTCTGGGGGAGTTGATATACCCATATCTTTCATGTTTTTATCAAGGTTTTCACTATGTTTTTAATACAAATAATGTGGTTTTTAAGCCCAAGAGGTAGTTTTCTTGTATATTCTGGTTTTGAGCATCATTCAGGTCAAAATAGCAAAGAAGAGTCAAAATGGAGCAAAAAGAGTCAAATCACCAAGTTCCCAAGTCTAGAGCACCAAATACATTTCTCGCTAAAGACCAAACCGGAGCATCCGAAGTACGACCGCATGTTCATGCCTTCCCGACGTCCAAAAGTCATGATTCTTATATGGAAAGATAGATATTTGAGTCATGACCCGCGGCGAAGTGGAAAGAGGTCATTTGGATCACTCGTTGGACCGGAACTTATTTTCTACCAAGACATGTCCGACGAGCGCCTAAGTAGAGCCCATGGAGACTTTGATGGATCAAGAGGCCCGGATACCGCGCCCAAGGCCTTGGCTCATCTTGACACTAGCATAACTCAATCCAGAAGCTTCCATTGGCCTGAACGCGGCCCATTCAAGAACTTGGAGAGCAAGCTCAAGCGGCTAAAGAGAAATGGAAACTTTCCTCTTCTGCGCGCGCTCAACTTTGCCGACCTAGACCCGCTCTCTACCTATATATACTTGCTTTTAGCCTCTTGTAATAAGAATCACCAGCCGCATAACAAGAAACACTTATTCAATAAAGTTCGGAGCCACTTAGGTGGTCTCCTTCTTCTTTCTTTTCTTCTTTTGCATTTGTATATAGCTTGCATGTTTCAATTTATATAGTCTAGAAGTAGAGATTTCTCCCTAAGGGTGAGGCGTGGTTTAGTCTATATTCCGCCGCCTCTCTCTCTAAGGATTCATGAGACTTCATCTACTATCTAAGACTCATTGTTGAATTATGGATCCTTCCAATGAGGACGTGATATAATGGCCATCGAAAATCGATTGTTAAAAGGGGAAACCCTATGGTTCTCCATCTTTATTTATGCTTAATGCTGTTGCTAGAGTAGCTAACTAGTGACTTGATTTTAGGTTGATATACTCTCCAAAAGCTTGTTATATCTCCGGATATATTTGATGGGCAAATCGTTTTAGGCTACGAAAGTAGACCTAAAGAGTTTTGTGAACAATCATTACTTGGATGTAATGCATGTCTCACTCTACAATGACCAACGAAAGCTGAGCCCATTGGTTTAAGAGACATAGGGGATTGGAACCACGAAAGTGGAATAATCCTTCCTTAGTGTTTTGAGTTCAAAAGAATCGGATTTTAACAAACTTTTCAATCGACTTGGCTCATGTTTTCAAAAGAGTTTTCAATAGTTCAATAATGTTGCTTGTATAGAATTGCATTGTTATTTTCTTTTGCGTGTTCTAAACAAACACAAACCCTTGCATCTTTTGATTTAGCTTAGTCATTTAAACTCTATGATTATGTAATGTGTGAAATCCAATCCCTTGTGGTTCGACCCCTAAATACTACAATTATATGTTGTGCACTTGCAACACTAGTTGTCTTAGGGAATTATTACTTGTACTCATCCCATAGATGCCGCATCAAGTTTTTGGCGCCGTTGCCGGGGATTGCATCATAAACACTTGCATAGTCTTGTTTAAAACTAAGTCTAGATCTTGGTATTTTCGAATACTAACTTTTTCTTTTAAATCTTGTGTTTATAGGTACTTGGAGATGAATCACAACACCAACATCCACTTTGGGAACCGGACACTGATCCCACACGATCTCCACGGCCGGAGTTACCAAGACCCAGCCGTAAGCATCGTGCCACATCCGTTCCCTCCCAACCGCGCTCATCCGACGTTTGAAGGACCTAGCCGAGACGAGCATCATTACCATCATCATCAAAACCGACCTCCGGTTTATCATCAACCACCTAGACCAGTGTTGCATTCACACCACGACCATGTTCTCAATAGGCGGAGAGATAGCCATTTCGATGCCGTGCTTGAGGGTTTCATGGAGAGCCAAAGAAAAACTAGCCGCGACATTGAAACAAAGCTAGAGTTCACGCGATACGAACTAGATGGAAGACTTGGAGAACTCTCTACCCAAATAGAGAGAGTAGAGTCAAGATGCTTGGACATGGAGGAAGATTTGAAGAAGCAAGGCGAGGCCATTGAAGACAATAGAAGAGCGATACACTTTACCAAAGTTTCTACCAAGGAGATGGACAATCACTTAGATGAGAAGATCACAAGTCTTGATAACAACCTCGATGGCACCACCAAGAGTCTCAATTCAATAACAGCAGTAGCTCATCAAGCTAAGAGGGAGGTAGCCGAAGTAACCCTAAAGGAGAGGCAATGTTACTCGACGATGCTTACTGATGTACTTGCATTTTACATAGTTTTAGCACATCTTTTATGCATCTTTTGCATAGTTTTAGCTTCCATTTGCATCATATCTTGTTCCTTTTCTCTTCTTATGCATTCATGTTAGTTTTAGGTTGCATTTGCATACATATGCATGTTTGGTCCTTTGAAATAGGTCTTTTGGAGCATTCTGGAGCATATGGGACATAAGGAGCATGGAGGGACTTGGCACATGGAAGCAGCTCAACTGGACACGCAAAGGAAGAAGGGAGAAGCCATCTTGAAGACCAGCTCGACCAACCGGTCGAGTTCCTCAACTCGACCGGCCAAGCTTCAACTCGATCGAGCTGAGAAGTCAAAGTCAAACCCGAAAAATGTTGCTTCCCCCTTGACTTCCTTTGACCCTAAACCTAATCCTCTTGTATTTAAAGGCTCTAAGCCACGAAAAAACCACCAAGCTTTAGATTATTTTGTTTTAGCTTCTTTAATTTATTGTCTTTTACTTTTTAGCAACCCTAATCCCATCTTTGTGTTCTTGAAGCTCTTGCTTCTTGAATCTTAGATCCTGGATTATTCTTTGTATTTGCACTTGCTTATTTCAATAAAAGTTGTTTAATTTCATCTCCTCTTTCTTATGATGTCTTTTATTGCATTTGCTTGTGTTTACATTCATGTGTAGTGAGTAGTTACCCATTAGGGTTTGAGATGGGATAGATTAGAGGTTTCATATGCTTAATCCTTCTAGCTTATGGTCTTAATCTAGATTCTCTCTCTTTTGGATAGATCTTAAGGCTACATGACCACTACCCCTGGCTTGTAAGTCCTTAGGCGACTCCCCACACGGAAGTGATGGCATTCGCTGGAAAAGATCCACTAAGAGCTCCAATATCTCTTGCTCTAGACAATAGAGGTCTAAGGGGTTGGATGGATTAGTTTGGGCAATGATCCTATAGCCTCCAAGGTTTGATTCTCACTGGCTAACCCCCTGTTTCTGAGATCATTCCTTGGTTGATAGCCTCCACCTTGGGAAAGGGTTGGCTAGGCATTGAGAAGCCCAATATCAAGAGAAGCCTTGATACAAGGAGTTTTAAGAGCTAGATTGATTAAGTGTAGATTCCTTTGATTGCAAAACCCTGTCTTGAACCCTAATTCTCTCTTTATCTTGTTAAAGTCGTCACCTTTACTTTTTTGCTCAACTCGACCCTAAACTCGATCGAGCTGGTACTCTGTCCACTCGACTCGAGTCCTTGGTCGAGCTACTTTTTACTGCTTTGTTTACTTTTATTGCACTGCATTTTCATTTTTAGGTTGTTAGTGTTACTTCAAATCTATAACTGCTTGCTTGACTTTCTGGTTGTTTCATATTCTCATAGAGTGACAAGTTTCCCATTTTGGATTGATAACCTCTTATACTTCAATGACTATGATGGTTAAAGGAATTGTTGACTGTGTTTGTGTTTGCATCTTACCACCTCATTTACCACTGATTGCATTCCACTCATCTCATTTCATTCTTTTCACACACACAAAATCCTATCATCAATTTGGCGCCGTTGCCGATTTGGGAATATTTTTGTTGCATTTGAGTTTCAAACACACTTGGACGATCAAGCTATACCACCCCTGTTCTATTGTACTGCTGGGTTTTTGTCTCTTTTTGCAGGTGTATGCGAACTCGATCGAGTCGGTCAACTGAAGACTTGGTCGAGCTAGACATTACAACGGGTAGAAAGAGGGTTCAGAGGTCACAGAGGGTACAAGAGGAACCTGAGGTGCTTGTTGCTGATACAATGGATGTACCAGAGGGGAATGGAAACCCTTTGGGCATGGACTCGGTCGAGCTAGGCAAACTCGACCGATTGGTCAAGGAGATGCTCCAAACCGCCACCAACAGAGACAAGGGATTGTTCCACCACCAGTGCAGAACCACAACTTTGAGATCAAGCTGGGAATGATCAACCTTGTCCAGAACAAGATGTTCCATGGATTGCCAAGTGAAGACCCCATTGACCACCTTGATGAGTTTGATAGGCTTTGTGATTTGACAAAGATCAATGGTGTCTCTGAAGATGCCATCAAGCTGAGACTCTTTCCTATGTCTCTAGCTGACAAAGCTCACCAATGGGAGAAGAGCTTGCCCCATGGCACAATCACCACTTGGGATGAATGCAAGAAGGCCTTTCTTGCTAAGTTTTTCTCCACCGGTCGCACAGCCAAGCTTAGAGGAGAGATATCCAGCTTCATCCAGCGAAACAATGAGACATTCGCAGAGGCTTGGGAGAGGTTCAAAGGCTACACAAGTCAGTGCCCACACCATGGATTCAACAATGAATCCTACTCTCCACTCTTTATAGAGGATGCTTGCCTAGGTATAGGGAGATGCTAGACACAGCTAGCAATGGGAACTTCCTCAACCAGGATGTAGATGATGGCTGGCAACTTGTGGAGAACATAGCTAACTCAAATGGAAGCTATGGAGAAGAGTATGATCGCACCAACCGGAGCTCGACCCACCACTCGATCGAGTCAGACGAAAAGTTGAGAAAAGATGTTAAGGCATTGAATGAGAAGTTGGATAAGCTGATCCTAGCTCAGTCCACAATGAAGAAAGTCAACTTTGTGTCTGCTGAGGAGATGGAACCAGTCCAAGAAGGGGAGGATACACAATTTGCTGAGGTGTGCTACATGAGCAATGGGCAAGGAGGTTACAACAAAGGATACTATAACTACAAGTCCAACCCTGCCATGTCATACCGCAACACTGATGTTGCTAACCCTCAGGACCAAGTCTATCCTCAACAACAAGCAGCTCGATCGAGTCAAGGCCACAACATGGGTATGGTCAAAAGAACAATTACCAAGGACCACAAGGCACTTTCCCTGGACAACAAATGAATATCCCACCAGGCTTCCCCCACCAACCGCCCCAGCCTGCACCTTCACAAGAGAATGAGCTCAAGGCAATGCTAAAGCAACTACTTCAAGGGCAAGCTGATGGGGTAGTGGACACAAGCAAGAAGCTAGCTGAAATAAACTCTAAGATCGAGAACCTCAACACAAGGGTTTACTCTCTGGAGAATCATGCTTCTTCTGTTGCTGCTGCTACAAAGCAAGGACAACTACCTGGTAAAGCTATTCAGAACCCCAAGGAACAGTGCAAGGTCATCTTCACTCAAGAAGGACTTGTTGAAGAAGAGGATCAAGAAAGGGTCATTGAAGATTTTTGTTTACTGCTGAATGATGAAGAGATTGTTGCTGCTGAGGCTCCTGGAGTCCAGATTGATCAACCAGAAGTGCATGCACCTACTGTGGCCATTCACACTTCACCAGTTGAGCTCGCACGACAAGCTCGATCGGCAGCTCGATCGAGTCCAACTCTAGCTCGATCGAGTCCGACCTCTTCTGTCCGACAGCCTGTTTTGCTTGATCCTTATCAACCGGTTGCCGCTTCCTCGTCTCGCCTACTTAGTCAAGGTCACAAGGAAGTGATTCACAAGTTCAGAAGAGATCTCAGTGGGATTGGAATTGAGTTGCCTCTATGGATAGCATGAGTGAGGCATTTGATCAAATGCAAATGGTCAAGGATGTTCTAGCCAACAGTGATAAAGTTTCAGAGGTCCTACAAGAGTCTACTCATCAGTTCAACCTGCTTACTTCACCCACCTTCCTACCAAAGGTCAAGGATCAAGGGAAATTCACTCTCCCTTGCACACTTGGGCATCTTGAGATTGACAATGCCTTAGTGGATTCTGGAGCAAGCATCAATCTGATCTCTCTCTCCATGGCAGAGAAGCTAGGCATAGCTGGAGCCTTGCAGCGCCCTACTACTTCAATCATGTTTGGAGATGCAACTTCTAAGTCTCCTCTTGGAGTGTTCAAGAACTATCACTTGAAAATTGGAGAATGCATCATCCAAACTGATCTCACTGTGATGGAAATGGAAGAAGAGAAGGATTTGCCTTTATTGGGAACCCCTTTCCTTAGTACAGTTGGCGCTTCAATTGACTTTCACAAGCAAGAAGTGATCCTTCACAAGGTGAATAGTTTGGTGTCATATCGCTTGCAGCCTAGAGGTTCAGACTTTTGTGCCACAATTGACAGTACCAATCTCAGTTCTAAGAGTCATGGAGCTACAAAGGTTGTGAAGGAAAGGGTTGACAAGGAACCAAGAGTTGGGAAGGATAAGGATGAGAGAGGACCAAGGATTGAGAAGCCACGTCTTGAGAGGGCTAGAGTTGAGAAACCACGATCTGATAGGCCAAGAGCTGAGCGACTTGTTCAAGCCCCTTGTGTGCTTGATGAAGAGAGCCTTCAAGCTTTGTTTGATGAGCCACTAGGAAGGGCTCTACAAGAAGGGGAGGATGCAGCCTCTAAGGCAAGACCAGGAGATAAAAGAAAGGATCCACCAGCTCAGGCCCCTTCAGTCAAGCCATCTCAGCTCACAATGACTTTGTTCCCCACCAAGTTTGAAAATGGGAAGATTGAGTACAAGATAAGGTACAAGGGGAGATCAAGGCCATTCTCTAGAGCCAAGGCCTTGGTGACTTCAGAACAGTCCAGGGACCCAACCAAGCTAAAGGAGCTTCTGTCTCAAGTCCTCACTATCACCCTTGATGGTGGGACTAGCTCAACCAATGCCTAAGAGGTAAAGGTCAAGCTATGGGACCTTAAACAAGCTCACTTGGGAGGAAGTCCCATGTTTATCCTTGTACATACTCTATTTATGCAATTTCTATCTATCTTTATGTTTTTAACCTTTCAATAAGTTAAGTTTAGGTGTCAAGGAGCCAGCTCGACCACGAGCTCGATCGAGCTAGAAACCAGGGCAACTCGATCGAGCTACACAACTCGACCAAGGTAAGTTTTTGAATTTCAAATTCATAACCGTTTTTTGGTCAAGGGAGTGGGTCCCACAAGCTGATTTTGGTCCCCCACTACCCTAATTCGATCAGAGAATCCCTAGTTTCTTGTTCCCTCTTTACATCTTTTAATCTCAACCACACATCTCAAACAACTCTCTTCCCCATAACTCGATCGAACCCACTTCCTCTCTCCCACACTCATAAATTTCTGAAACTCATCCATCTCTCTCTTCACCACAAAAATTTTTCGAATTTCAAGCTCTCTCTCTAAGTTTTTGCGATTTCTTGTTCATCTCTTGTTTTGCTTAGTTTCTGTTTACTGCTCTTCAATTCCATCATTCAAGCAAGGTATGAACCCTAAAACCCTTATTCCTCCATCTCGATTCCTATTGCTTGTTTCTCTTGATTTTTGATTGCATGTGTCCCTTGTGGACTTGTTATTGAGTAATTGCTTTCATATTTCGCTCTGCCTTGTATAACTTGTTAGTTTTGCTTCACCTCACCTCTGTTTTGCCTTTAAACTTGTTGCATGTGCTTGAAAGGTTGAATTTGAGTTTGGTAATGGTTAGGTTGCTATGTTTTCACTAGAATTGCTTATTGTTCCATTTACTAGTTGTTCTTGGTTCAATTTGATTGATTAGCATCCTTTCCAGCTCTTAATACTGAATTAGGTTTGGTTATACTCTGTTTTCACCCAACTCGATCGAGTTTGTCACTCGAGTTTTTTGACTCGATCGAGCTGAGTGTCGAGTTGACCAAACCGATCATTACAACTCTAATTCTTTGAATTTTGATGCATTTCAGGGACCAATCTAAGATGTTGAGAGGTGAAGGAAGCAAGCAGCGTTCACAAGGATGGAGATGATAAGAGGAGCAAGGAGGATACTCAAAACACAAACCAAGGAGGACATAGAAGAGGTTGAGAGGGTGAGGGAAGGAAAGGAGAACCAAAAGAAGGAATGATCCTCTCAGTAGTGAGAGCGAAGCAAGGAGAGTTTGAAATTGGGTGAACACCCAATGAGGAGAATGATGACTCCTCAAGTGAAGAAGAGGGTGAAGAGATCAATCAAGAGATTGAGGAGAGTGAGCATGAGGGCAATGAGAATGTGCCCATGGAAGAGGAGAGTCAAGTGAAGAAGAGGATGAGCTCCCCATGTACCAAGAGCACTAATGCTCTCTTCTCCATGGACTTCATGGACACCAAGTACCCACATGTTGACACCATGAAGGCCCTTGGAATCTTTGAAGATGTGGAGTTGGTCCTCAAGAACATGCACTTGGCCAAGCTCTTCTCTACCACATGGAATCCTACAAGGAGCTCACTTGCGAGTTCCTAGCTTCAATGAGGTACCACATGTATGAGGAAGAAGATAGAGCTGATTTGGACCAAGGATTGGGATGGATCACGTTCTTGGCTAAGGGAGAGAAGAGAATGGTGACCTTTAGGCAGCTGGAGATCTTGTTTGGGTTCAACTATGGAGAGGGAACCAAGTGGAACTTCAAGGAAAAGGAACTCCAAAGGGTTTGGGCTACAATCGCTGATGGAGTGTACTCTTCCTCAAGGTCCAAGGCAGCTCAGATCAGGAGCCCAGTCTTGAGATATGTGCACAAGGCACTTGCCAACACCTTCTTTGCAAGGAAGGCAACCGGGACAATCAACGAGGGGAACTCAAGTTTCTTGACATGGGAATCAAGCCCCTTCTCTCACGCACAAGCGATGGCAAGAGGATAAGGGGAGATAGGTCTGACACAGGGAACTTGATGCCTTCCTTGACCAGCTCCTCACCTACAAGATCACAGCTTACAACACTAGGCACCAAAGAGGAAGAAAGCTTAGTATTGGAGGGCTCATCACACCTATCTTGTGTGCTGCTGGAGTAAACCCAACTGATAGGAGAGCTACTGAACCAGGTTGGATGGACATCAAGTTTTGCAAGACCAACCTCCTCATTGAGCACAAGGAGTTAGATGGGAGTTCCAATTCAAGTTCACACATCCATTGGTTGGACCCTCCAAGTTTCTCCTGCCTAACCCAGAGCTCACCACAGTTGTAAGGGGTGAGAACATTGATTTCAGACCCCCTGTGTACACATTAGTTGGGCATGAGGATGATTGCGAGAAGAGGAGCCTGAGCTCGATCGAGCTGAGTCTCGAGCTGAGGGTCGAGCTGAGGATCGAGCTGAATATCAGGTCCAGGAGCGCTGACTTGGGTGAGCCTGAGTGCTACTACTTTGAGGAGTATGAGGCTCCAAGGATGAACCCCTCTGTTGTGGCTGCCCACAAGAGGATTGGACTTCTCCAAAGGTTCAACAAGTGGCAAGGGAAAGCCATGGAGAAGATGCAAAAGTCCATGGACAAGATGGTGAGCAAGATCAAGAGTTTGGAGAAGAAAGTTTCTGGTTCTTCAAGCAAGAAGAAGTCCAAGCTCCCACTTTCCCTAGGAGTAGGTCACTCCTCACCACCCAAAGAAGGCTCTCCCACAAGAGCCTCACAGAGCCTCTTCTTTCGAGCCAGAGAAGGAGAGGACAACACGCAGAGAAGGAGGAAGACTTCCAAGGCCAGACGCTCCAGCTCGACCACCGGACTCGATCGAGTCCAAACAGAGGAAACTCAACTCGATCGAGCTGAGGTCGAGTTGACCTGGAAGAGCCCCTGTTTGAAGATCCTGGATTCGAACACGATTCAACCCAGTATCAGGACTTCTCTCAGACTCTCTGGACTCCCTACAACCGCTTCGAGCGAGCACAACTCCACCAAGGCCAAGGAAGCCACACCCACTTTGAAGACTGAAGAAGAAGAGGAGAGGAGCCACAAGCTCGATCGAGTGAGCCGAACCCAGTTGAGTGGAGCGCTCCTGATGGCCGTCTCCCATCTCCAGACCACGACCTAGTCTCCCAGTTCTTTGGGGGGCACTGAGGTATCCAAACACCAACCCTTGTATATACCATTTCATATTTTTTTCATTTGTTCTTGTTTTTTCTTGGTTTTGCCCTCTTGAATCTTTCACTGAATTTTTCTCACACAAGGGACTGTGTGATTTAAGTTTGGGGGAGGGTTCAAGAGATGATTTAACCTTGTTTTCTTTGTTCTTAGTTTTTCATTTATCTTTTGCATAGAAAAACCAAAAAAATCATAAAATTTTCAAAAAATCCAAAAATATTTTCATCTTTTTGCATTCATATTTGTTAGACTTGTTTAGGATTGCATTTTTCACTTGCATTGTTGATTTGACTTTGAAAACTTGTCCATCTTTTGCGATTTCTTGAGTGCCCTGTTTTTAGATTCTTTTGTGCATTAGGGTGAGATTGATTGAGCAGCAAGAACCATGTTTATCTTGATCATATCACTGCATGCACATCTCATTCAACCATTGCTGTGATTTGATGCATTTCCCTATCTATTTGAACCATAACTTGATCTTTAATTACCAATGCTTGCATTTGATTTCAACTCATGGCTACCACATACATATCTGGACATTCTTTACCTTTTCATATCCCCTTGTCCAGATAGCTGCTTTGAGACAGTTACCACACCTTAAACCTAAGCCTTTTCATTTCAAACCCCTTATTATCTCTTGTGCGAATGTGAGAACCTTTCTTGGCTTTGCTTAGCATAAGGTGTTGTGTTTAAACCGGCAGGGGCAGTAGTTCTAGTTGTCTAGTTCTCTTGGGATTGTTTTCAGGCTAAGTTTGGGGGTGCCAACTCGAGCTCGATCGAGTTGGGTGTAAAAACCAGAAAAGTGGTAAAATTGGGAAAAACCCAAAGGAAAAAGAGTTTGGTTAAGTCCAGGGAGTTGGCAGTGTTAAAAAGGGTCTAGTAAAGGTTTGGGAAGTTAAAAAAGGAAAGTAAAAAGGGTTCTAAGTAGAATGAAAAGAAGGCAAAGCCTCAAGTGTCCAAAAAGGAAAGAAAAGTTCCCTAAGTGTTTAGAAAATCCCAAACCGCTAGATGTTACCTCAAGAAGCCTCTCCCTAGGAAGTTCTTAAAAGAAAAGTGAGCAAAGCTCCTCAGTTTCAAAGGCGAAATGCCAAAAAGGGTAGTTAGGATTTTGTTCTAAAAAGCTCTAAGTGTTGAACTCGATCGAGTTAGGATTAGGCGGCTCGAGCTGCTGTTCTTGCATCATCTTTGGTTCTAACACTTAGCCTTCTGCCAAAGCAAAGCCACTTTCTTGAGAGATCCCTGTTACTAAACCACCATACAAAAGAGACCCTCTTTGTCTCTTAACCCATAAACCCTTGAAACCAAATGAGTTGATTGATCTTGCATGTTTTTGGTTCACTGTTTTTGCTTAATGAATGTTAAAGGGATTTGCTGATTTGAATGCATTGTTTGAGTGACTGTGAAGTGGGATTGATGTTGATAAGCATGGTTAAATCTTAATGAATATCTCTCACCTTGTTGCATTCTAGAATCTCTAAGTTGGACATTTAGCAAATCGCTTTTGAGGACATGTTTTTAAGTGTTGAATCAGCTTATTTTCAAACCTCATCTCTTTCTTGTTCTATTTGTTTGCTTGAGGGCAAGCAAAGTTCAAGTTTGGGGGTGTTGATGTACTTGCATTTTACATAGTTTTAGCACATCTTTTATGCATCTTTTGCATAGTTTTAGCTTCCATTTGCATCATATCTTGTTCCTTTTCTCTTCTTATGCATTCATGTTAGTTTTAGGTTGCATTTGCATACATATGCATGTTTGGTCCTTTGAAATAGGTCTTTTGGAGCATTCTGGAGCATATGGGACATAAGGAGCATGGAGGGACTTGGCACATGGAAGCAGCTCAACTGGATACGCAAAGGAAGAAGGGAGAAGCCATCTTGAAGACCAGCTCGACCGTCCACTCGACCAACCGGTCGAGTTCCTCAACTCGACCGGCCAAGCTTCAACTCGATCGAGCTGGGGAGTCAAAGTCAAACCCGAAAAATGTTGCTTCCCCCTTGACTTCCCTTTGACCCTAAACCTAATCCTCTTTGTATTTAAAGGCTCTAAGCCACGAAAAAAACCAAGCTTTAGATTACTTTTGTTTTAGCTTCTTTTAATTTATTGTCTTTTACTTTTTAGAGATCTAATCCCATCTTTGTGTTCTTGAAGCTCTTGCTTCTTGAATCTTAGATCCTGGATAATCTCTTTGTATTTGCACTTGCTTATTTCAATAAAAGTTGTTTAATTTCATCTCCTCTTTCTTATGATGTCTTTTATTGCATTTGCTTGTGTTTACATTCATGTGTAGTGAGTAGTTACCCATTAGGGTTTGAGATGGGATAGATTAGAGGTTTCATATGCTTAATCCTTCTAGCTTATGGTCTTAATCTAGATTCTCTCTCTTTTGGATAGATCTTAAGGCTACATGACCACTACCCCTGGCTTGTAAGTCCTTAGGCGACTCCCCACACGAAGTGATGGCATTCGCTGGAAAAGATCCACTAAGAGCTCCAATATCTCTTGCTCTAGACAATAGAGGTCTAAGGGGTTGGATGGATTAGTTTGGGCAATGATCCTATAGCCTCCAAGGTTTGATTCTCACTGGCTAACCCCCTGTTTCTGAGATCATTCCTTGGTTGATAGCCTCCACCTTGGGAAAGGGTTGGCTAGGCATTGAGAAGCCCAATATCAAGAGAAGCCTTGATACAAGGAGTTTTAAGAGCT